GTCAAAATCTAGATTTTTGACCATCATTTAAGATGGACCTAAGTGCTTCTCTTCTATCTTACTATTGAGGGGTTGTTCTTTTCGCCTACACTATGTTTTTACCACAATCTTAATGTCGTTTGATTTCGAACGTTACGGCTGTTCTTCTATGGATTTTTCCGATAAACTGTAACATGTTCTCACTTCTTCATAATTAATGCGTTGCGCCTTTTTGTTATTTTTATTATTTATATTGATAAGGGCTTGATGACAAGCCGAAACGTTTATGATTATGTAAATTAAGTAATAAACCATTGCACGATCAACTTGCTTTTTGGCTCTTTCCGCTCCTGTTTAATAATTTTTATACTCTCATGCATGCTCAAGAGCTATCTAAACATCTAAATAAGCAAATTTTACATTTTGATAAACGGAAAACAGCGCAATGGGTATTATACAGAATCGCTACCCAGAATCCTCACCTCGAATTTTGATAAATTTATGCACACTTGATGCGTTTTTGTCCAAAATAAAAGAATTTCACAGAAAAAAGTGTCGCTCTGCCCCGCGAAACGAGATATTAATCATTAAAGTTGATCACTTTTTAAGTTAAAAAAACCTGTTATATACTGACAAAATATAACGTATGCACTGCGGTCACGCGTGCATGCATTGCCATAATATTCAATTTTCACACGTGGCGGGGGTGGATCTCCCCTGCACCCCCGCCTTCATGGCTAACCTTGGATTAACACAGCACGCGCGCGTAACCGCAACGCATGTCTATGTCGCTATATCTTATCGATATGACAGGTTTCGTAACCTGAAAAATAGTCAACTTTAACAATTAATATCTTGCTTCGCGGGGCAGAGCAACACTTTTTTCTGCCAGATTCTTACGTTTCACGCAAAAACGCATCGAATGAGCATAAATTTATCAAAATTACAGGTGAGGTAGCAATTCTGAATAATTACCATGTAGACGAACATTGCAATAAACTGCTGTATATATTTCTCTCATACATTTCACGTTTCGAACTTGATAAGACTTGATAAGACTTGACAGGATTTAAATGTTGTTTGAAATGTTAAAAGTTTTTTAGAACTAAACAAAAAAAATATTTGTTAGCTAAAAACCTCAATCTGTACGTGTAAAATAAATTATTACAGAATGTCAGAATATGACGAGCAACATATGAAGTAGCTATGATATTGCAATAGATAACAATTATTTTTCCTACATTATTGGAATAAAACATGACTCGTGGATTTATAATCTATAACATAATATTATCTAAGTTTGTACATATATAATTAATCAGTATTACCAAATCAGCAGTCTATATGTCATCAATTCCCAATGTTATAATTCTCCAAGTAAAAATTTTTTTTCGAACTGTTGTATAATTCTTTTTAACTTTTTCTAATGTTTTAACATCATTGGTGATTTTATAAACTCACTTTTGTTAGTTTTACAAACTTTATATTGTGCTGCAAGTCTCCATAATATCCATTAGCAGTTTGCACTGTAGCTGTATTGATATTTTTGGTTTTCTTTTTACATTTATGACAATAAATATAAGTTCTTGCTCTGTTATTATTTATTAAAAGAAAATTTCTTGCTCTAACAAATGCGAATATATTACAATTTGTTTAATATCTTTGATGAAGTCATTATTTCTATAGTACAATGTTCATTTTATATTTGATATTTTTGTCAAGCTCTCTCTTATTGTTACAGGAACATATAAAGTGGAGCATAAGGAGAAACATAAAGTATGATGTTTCTATATATTCTATACCGCGTATTAGCACTTTATTAGCGTAATTAGTGTACTGCTATATCCCCATCTATAGAAAATGACTTTACAAAATTCATTAAGTAACTCAATATTGGGTATTTTTAATTCAATGTTTTAATTACCTCTCTATTTAAAGATTTATGCCGATCATGACATTATATATTTCATAAATTCTGATACATTATTTACTTTTAAATATCATTTAAATGCTTATAATAAGATTAGAACATACAATGCACCAAAAATACTTTGGAAATATCGTGAAAAATAGAATGAAAACGTAATACATTTTTACATCAAAAATACAAAAATTTTATCATGTTATCACAAAAGTGTAAATATTCGTAGCAAGTCTAGCCGCATGCACGATTTTACACCTGGACGATTGCTTTGCCGATGTTCTGACCCTGCAACATGCCGACGAATGCATCGAACATGTTGTCGAAGCCCTTAGTCACAGTCTCGCGATAATGAAGCTTGCCCTCGCGGATCAACTGCAAATTGTGTTGGATTCCTTCGAACCAACGATCCCGCCACCGCCAAAAGATGAAACCTTCCATTCTTAATTGATTAGTCAGTATCGCAGGTTGCAGAAGCGCGCACTTCGGCAAGAACGACTCATCAGAATTATCCATGTCGTACGACGAGATGCTGCCGCACACAGCTATTCGACCGTATGGCTTCATCTGGTAAATAACCGTGCTCGAAATACCTCCACCAACCTGTAAGCAAAATTATTATGAGCTTAGTTTTAATATCTATTAATTACAAGAAAGAAAATCGTAATTTTTAATCAATTTAAAGTGCATTGTACAGAATACATAAATTAAAAAACTGTTAGGCATATTTAAAATTATAAAAAGTTACTTATAGGAAAAAGACAACTCAATAATAATAATCTATCTACATATATTTAACAAATTGAAATAAATTACGATATTTTATCGACGTACATTGTCGAAATAGCAATCGACGCCCTGCGGAGCGGCTTTGCGTAGACTAGCCGCAATTGACATGGTTTTGTAATCGATAACAGCGTCGAAACCCAACTCCTCGGTAAGCCATTTGGATTTATCGTCGGAACCACATATGCCGATGACAGTTAAACCCAGACTCTTAGCAATCTGTCCTACGTGAGAACCGATTGCGCCGGCTGCACCGCTGATAACAATCGTTTCGCCAGACTTTGGCTTACATACCTCTGTCAAACCAAAGTAGGCAGTATTGCTGTAAACACGAGTATTTATATGTAACTGCTTTATAAATAAATAAATAATAAAACTTAAACTTTGAACCTTAATCGTACCATGTAAAAAGTTTAAATATAAGTTATTAACAAATTAAAAAAAAACAGTTGCCTCTTATTTTTATGTTTACTTCCATTGTGGAACGATAAGCTAGCGTTTAACGTTATAAGCAATTATGTAAATTTATTTTAGGATTTTCCATTTTACCCTGGCATTCCCAACACGCCTAAGCCGAGAGACGACGGTAGATCGCCTATGTCCGGCAAAATATACGGTGAAATCGTCCCCTTGTCAACTTCGCCGGCCTCAGGATTGACAATTGTATGAGTTCTCCAGCCCAAAGATCCAACAATTCTCTTGCCAACTGGGTAGTCCGGATTCTTGGATTCGATGATTTTAGCAACCTGAGTACCGATCATCGTCATTCCTATTGGATATTTGTTTATGGACAATCTCATATATGGGTCCACGGAAAGATACTCAGCTTCCACGAGATATTCTAAAAATATATGGCAAATTAATACTTCACTGTCGCCGATTACATTAATAAAATATTGATTAATCGAATTTGAAATAATATAATAACACTAATATTGAATTCATAGTTAATGATAATAAATTTTACAATGACTAACGGTAAACAATTATAAACGAATCAAAACGTTTGTTTATATTTCATTTAATACATGTTTGTTATCATTTGGCATTCAAATTTTGCTTCTGGCTTGCCAATCCTTTCAGATACGTTAAGAATTTATATTAACGTATATCGAGTGAATTAATAAATTTGGAATATAATAAATTCATAAAGTATAACATATAAGTATGCAGAGCTGTTCAAAAAACAAATAAATTATTAACAATTTAATTAAATGTTTGATCAAATTTGCTGACAAGCTGCTAATAACCTTGTGTACGAAATAATATAATAGTCATTATATCAAGATCATGACTCATCATAGATAAATACCTATAAATTCTTTCTAAATCACTTATTTTTGCAGAGTTATGTTCTTCATTTACCATTCTCAAGCAGTTGTAAAATATTCATATTCATCGATGATGTACACATAGATACGTACATAAGCACA